GTCAAAGTTGCCATAAGTTCCGCGGTGATGATCCCGTGAGTCAAACGGATTATTAATCTAAGCTGGGCATACGTGACGTTTAGGTGTGAAAAATTAGTAATTATTAGGTGTCTTAAAACACCTGTTTGAATGGTAGTCAAAGTTGCCAGCAGTTCCGCGGTGATGATCTCGTGACTTAAACGGAATATTAATCTAAGCTGGGCATACGTGACTTTTAGGTGTAAATAATTAGTCATGATCAGGTGTCTTAAAACACCTATTTAAATGGTAGTCAACGTTGCCAGCAGTTCCGCGGTGATGATCTCGTGACTCAAACGGATTATTTATATAAGCTGGGTATTCCGTGTATTCCAGGTGTGAAAATGAGTTATTCTTGGGTGTCTTGATGGTTTCACAGTTACCATTTAAGTTCCGTGGTGATAATACCGTGACTGTTGGCATATTTCTATGTTCACCAGTTGATAACTGACTGTTGGCATATTTTCATTGCACCAGTTGATAACTGGAGTGTGCATATTTCCAGTTGCACCGGTTGATGACTGAGTGTTGGCATATTTCGAGTTGAACCAGCTGACACCAGTTAATTTGCATATTGAAAATGGGGTGCGTGAAGATCTATGTTTTTAAAAAAAATTATCTGAATTTACAGCATATTTCTTATTACTGATGATTTAGTTATATGCAATTCATTTCGAAAATACTACAAATATAAATTACCAGTTATTAGGACATTTCGCTACTTCGTATAAATTACATTTAGTTAAACATGAATAAGGGAAACATTAACTATGAACTAAAATAATTTCAATTAAGTACAAGTATACGAAATTTTTTCGATTAATTAAATTATGTAAGTCAACTTATTACCAATGCCTTTACATTGGAAATACAGACGTACCAGTATTGAAGTATTGTTGCTGTTCAACTGGTTGGAAGTTAACCAAATGGTTCTAATGGCTCAGCTAGACCAGTTGAAGTATAACTGGCCTGGATCAACTGGATCATTTAGCCCATTTCAATTCCCAGGATTACCAGTTGGCATTAAATGGTTCATCAACTGGACCAGTTGAAACTAGCTTTCTCTTCTAGGATGTTTGCACCCACCCCCCTCCCCCAACCCCCTCTAACCCCAAATTGCTACCAGCGCGCCTGGACGTAATTATGGAAGATCCAAAACACGATGTTCAGAAACGGGATGATTATTATTATTTTGGTTCATTTATTGTGTAACATTTGCGTAATTATTGGGTTGAACGCGGGTTACAGTAACATACTTCCTCTTCGACGTAAATTTCACGTGAATGAAGAACATGATTCATCTCAAGTCAGCCTCGTAATATTCACGTGAATTTAACGCAGATATTTTGACTAAAACTATCACTAACGCTTCACGTGTTTCTGTGACGCAATAATTTCGTTTATGAAGATGTAATTTCATAACCAAGCAAACACGTTAGTATAAGGTTTACAAACCATGGTCTCCAAGGTAGGGATAATCACGTTATTATAATGGTGATATTGCAGTGACAATTGCGTGATTTAGTGTACGTGTGTTTTAAGTTACCTAGTGCAATAAACGTATTAACACATTTACGTAAATGTCAGGTGTTTGAAGAACGTAACTCTCCTCAAGTCGATACCTTGATATTGACGTGATTTTCACGTGATTTTGTTTATTGGGTCATCACCAACAATCTTATTTTAGTTGCTAAGCCTAAACTTGAGAAAGTACCTAATAATATGCATTCCATTGTTAACGTTAGGCGTCTTCGGACAAGTTTCAGTTGTTTTTAATAATTTGTTGGCTTGCACCCAATAAATACAAATCACGTGCTCCATCTTTCAATTAAAAACAAGTTTGTTATCTTTATCTAATGTGTGCAAGCCAAACATTTCTTTACAAGAAAACCTACATTTAGCAGCGACATAGGTCTATAATTGTTTGTGACATGAGTATTTCCCTTTCTTATTTGTTACTACTTGTTTCTGTGACCCGTAACATATGCTCAATTTAATGCTGTTATGAATTCATTACATAATACAAACCCGGATAATAATAACATTCAGTTGTACAAACATCGTTCCCATGAGCTTCATTACATTTTATTTCCTTAAAAGACACGAGACATTCTTCTTTTGTTATATTTCCTTCCGAAAGTTCTGCACTGTTTAGGAACATATTTGAAGAAAAAGAGAACTTCTAATACAACTGCCTTCTAACTTCTTTTTGTGAATCACCAACAAAAAACCGAAGTGTAGAATATCACATTTCGTGTGATCCTATTTTTACTGTCAGTATATAACTCTTTTATGACGCTTTTTCTTTTATTCCATCACTGTCCCGAATAACTGCTTTTGTTTTAACTTCTTCAACTCACCCCAAAAATCATCAGACATTTGGTATTTTTACATAATAATCATGGGATTTTGTTTACTGACTTTTTTGTCCTATTAATCGTCTCCGAAATGTTGCTATTTACTGCAGCAGTCACTAATATATCTTCTAAGGCTTGTATTTCCGCTCATAATATGTTTGTTTATGTATGTACTTGTTTTGATTTGAGCCTCAATAAGGGTGATAATATTGCATACAGACATATTTTTTTAACTACAATTTACTTTTTGTATAAGTCGCACCAAACTGATTTACTTTTGAATTCCACATCCTCCTGTATTTTCAGCCACCCCTTTCATTGTTCATCTCTCTAACGCGTTGTACATACTTATATACATCAACTGTTGTTGCATCTCCTGTACGATTTTTCCTTGTTCATCGTATTTAATCTGTACTTCTAATTTCAAATTGAATTCCATAATATAATAGCGTTGTATCAAACATATATTTCAATACGCTTTGGTTAACACCATTTAAGCTGCACGTTTTACACATTGTCTTACAAACACCAAGCATACGTCGAATGCTACAAACCAGGTGAGGCGTTTTAATCATCCTGAACATCTATGTAAAAATAGTAAAAAAAATAATAATAATTATAATAAACTAGTACCAATTTGTCTGAGATATATTTAGGATTGATCAGAAGGTGCATTATTCTATCATGCAAAATTTGTAAAACTAAACCTATTATATACAAGCATTGCTTCTTAATAGGTTACTCATATTCTACTAAATTTTTCATATGAGTTGAGTATCATTGGGAAGTACTCATATTACGTGTATACAATTTTTATTTTATATGGCTTTGTATTTGGTTGGTTAAATGTTGCGCAAATTAACATGAACTTTAAACGTTCTCATGTTGATTGTATTTCACTGTAAAAACATTTCATATGCCATTATATGTTTGACAACAAATTAAATTAATAATGTTGTGTTGCTTATCGACAATTGTCAGATATTTGCAAACCGAATTATTAATAGGTGTCTGCTAGGTAGTTGGAATGGTTCTTACGTTAATACTAAAAACATGCACCTAGTAATAGGTCAATGGTTAACAAAAAACTGTGTGTCGACCATGGTCGACAATGTGAACATCGACGAATCCGCGTGACTTGGACAGAATTGGTGGATAAAACCCTATTTCAAGTAGCGAGTCGCTCATGAACTGACTTATAATCTAACTGAACATTGAAGCTAAGCACTAAGCAACATATAGAGCCCAACTACTCAACCTAAAATCGACTTGCGCCAAAGTTACTTATGTAATGTTTAAATAAATCAATGGGGTTTTGGTTATTAAATTGGTTTTTGCAGATCCAAATAACATCCCTAACAAAATTAATCATGCCACACATATCAAATATGGAATATCAAACACCAACGAACATTTGTACGTGTATGTGTATGTGTGCGTGTGTGACTTTGCTTCTGCAAAAAGCATATGTATATCATCTGATACATTCAATTCATTCTCTCACGTCGCTAATCCCAACATAATACATGCTGTAGGCATCACTTTGGCGCAAGTCGTATTTTGCACTCTCGCAAACAATGCCTCATGTTCATTCAAGCGTGAACATATACCACACATAAATTATAACAAATAATTTAGTTTAAAACAATCTTTCATAAGATGAATAGGAATTGACTATTCATAGATGGTTTTCAAAATAATTAGCAATTTTCTAGGCGTAAACTTTTTTCTGACTCACACGGTACTGAACGAATTCTGCTTATTCCAATCAAACGAAAGGGGGACATAGTTGTAATCGCATTTTTTAAGTATCAATTGAAAGAATAAAAAACACCCTCTCACGCAGTCCGGACTTTTGCCAATAAAAAAAGGCAATGTACGTCTTTGTTATGCTGGTTTCGTGGAGTTTTATAGGAAATGGCCACTTTTTTATTTGAATTTCTGTATGCATTTATGTCTCTCTTGGTTGCCGTCTCGCTGGCTTTTACACTCTCTTTTTTGTTGGTGGGGGGGGGGGATATCTTACATGTTTATTTGCTTTTTCAACCTCGTTGACTTTCTCATTCATATGTCCCATCGGTGATGAAGGTAACATGGCCTTTTGTAAACGTGAGTGTCGTTGACTATTGTTCGGTCTTACGAGCCTCCGTCCTAGTGGACGTTTATTTTTGGGGAGATCGCAATGATTGCCTGTGCGTATTTGGTGTATGTTTTCTTATCATTTGGAAAATATTGCCGATATAATATAAGTAAGGAAATTGTACGCACAATATACAAGGATACATCCGTATACGTAATTTTTAAAAAATGGGACAATTTATGGACTATTAATAGTTTCTGGCATTTATGTCAAAATAATACAGGTATTCGGCTCGTCGACGGACCTGATCAATATGAAAGCAAGGTACAGGTCAAGCTGATAAATGACAGTTGGAGTAGACTGTATGTTTATTATTATTGGTCTGCATATTTTCACTAATAACACATTTGTCGTCTTATTGTGCCGATACTGATGGGATTACTACGACCTTGTCACCACGTTCAGTATGATTAGATTGTATTGTACTTCTTTGGGTATTCGTTCACACACTCTGCTCATTAAATACAGAGTCAACCCCATACCAACTCTTCGTCGCATGCCACAAACCAGGTGAGGCGTTAGGTTTATTTCCCCTTCTCGTGAATATGCAAATATAAGCATCGACGTGTTTCGATATACCGCCCCCCTTCACTGTTAGAAAACAATTAAACAAGTTGTTTAAAATTTTAAACAACTACAAGTTAACCGGTGAATCGCTAAACTGTTGTTTAAAAATTAAACAACTTTTATAAAACAACAGTTGTTTAGTAATAAAATTGCACAACTCGGTTGTTTAAAGCAAGTTGTGTAAATGTTAAACAATAATGTACTAAGGAACTGTTGTTTATTCAATATCACTGCACAACTGGGTTGTTTATAAGGAATTGCTTAAATTTTAAACAGAACTGTTTAATGGTTATTACCTGGTTGTTTAAATTTGTGAAATGACCTACTGGAACCACTCCTGCAATAATCACGAAGATTACAAAGTCACTGTAACATGTAGAGCTTGCAGTTGCCAATTTACTTCAACATTTGTTCATCATATTCATTTAACAGTGACAGACAAGCTTATTATTTGTCTCTATAACTTCACCTAAACCCCATCGGCGAAACCGAGAAGAACAAAGTCGTCGCCTTGCCCTTGTTCCGCCATTTTCGTTTGCACTGCACTAGCATTTGCACTGCACACTTGCACTGCATGCTTGCATGCATGTACTATGTACGTACTTTGTGCATATCCCATGTGTGCGCGCAAATTGCAATCGCGTATCGAGAAAATGTCAACGACGCGAAATCATGATTGGTTAAATCTATCACGTGATTTTCCCGGGACTTTTTAAACAACTCTGTTTAATTAAATATTTTTGTCTTTCAATAAGCCAATCAAACACTGATTTTTCGATTTCGAACAACGTTGTTTACGTTTTTAAATAACATTCTTTTAAACAGTGATATTTTAAACACCGTTCTAACTGTGTATCGTTATAACTCCGATATTTACCTAATGCACACCAAAAAACACCAATATATTACGAACTTCATATTCGGGCAAGAGACGAAAACACCCCCACCCCCTTCCCAAACACGCTCACACATCTTTAGTATAGTTGGGGTGCACTAACCTTCTATAATTTGTGACACCAAAAAGCTACACACGTTAAAGCCCTAATACACTACTTACATATGTACTTGCGCCCTCTATGTAGCAAACAATGCCTAATCGGTGACCGCTGGTCCCCCATGATCCCCTTTTTCTTACGTTAATTGAGAGCTGATTTGATGAGATAACCACATGTCAGTGACAACGCTGGGTGGTATAATCCCTCCTGGCCGAACTAGTGCAGACGGGCTTTAAGATAAGTAAACGGGGGAGGGTGCAAAACTAGTAGGATCTCTTTAAACATCCCAGCTCGTCCAGTATGATAACAGTGACCGATTGTTCTTACGGTGTTATGTGATACCATCTGAATCTACATGTTTGCTCCACATCAAATATCAACCCTTCGTCGGATATCACAAACCAGGTGAGGCAGCAGGTGAATAGTGGTGGGGGGGGGGGGGGATGAGAGAACTATTTTGTTTGGCCCAATCCGTGAGGACAGGGGAAGGTGGCCCGGTCCCGTCGACCACCCCCCCCCCCCCCTCATGGATCCGCGCCTGTCACCTGCATTACGGGTTTTAGTGTTCGTGAATGTCATATCTTACCATCTTGATGTATCATGTAAAGACTGTTTAAATACATTTAATACGCTTGAAAAAGTAGAATTGATATGCGCAGCGAAACAAACGCTTTTAGTCGAGTAAATTTACTCTTTAAATGTGCTTTGACAAGTATATTTTTTTTCTTCAAAATGCAGCATATATGGCACAAATCGTCCCTATTTTCACGAAGTGACGGTAGTGATGAAAATCGTAACGCAGTGAATGAGATTTTCATTCACTACCGTCACTTCGTGAAAATAGGGACGAAATAATAAGTGGTTATTTATTTCGAGTCACATTTGAAACTGTAACTCCTCGATGATCTCTGCCTTCTCTTCTTCGTCTCGTTGCATAGTAAGTTTAGAGACCCCATTAGGCAATATTTTTAACGTTGCCCCTCAAATATAAAGTTTTTGCTTACTGGACACAACATCACGTACACCATGACACATGTGTACCACTGCGCTTAGGGAATTATCAACCACCAGAGTTGCAGGTTTTCTGAAAACAAACACATACCAAGCATTCGTTAGATGCTAAAAATCAGGTGAGCCGCTTTACTGAAAATTTGAAGGCTCTGTTATGCTATGGATGAAGTTTTTATAGGTGCAGAGTTGTGGCGTTCAAAGTTGCCAAATGCTTGGCAAAGGTAGAATTGAGCAAAATAAAATAACGATATATCCATCTTCCCTATATTCATATTTGTTTAGTCTTTGAATTATTTGGTCCTTCATGGATATTCACATAATATTCTCAAAGCCCTACCACAAATAATTTTTTTCCCCTGTAAAATCTCTAATCTTTTTATTTTAGTTTAATTTTTCTATTTTTGTTTGCATGTTTGTGGGGGGGGGGGGGTGAGATTAGACTTATGATAACTTCAAATAACACTTTGTTTTTAGTGATTACCCCCTTACCCGAAAATGTGGGTGATGTTTCATTTTCACACACACGCACACATGCTCGCGCGTACGTATACACACAAATAACTTGCCTCCTCATTTTTAACATGACAACTACCCCCCCCCCCCCCCCCCACACACTTAATTGAGAACAAAATATGAAAAATATGGAGTTTATGTACATGTACAGCATACACTGTGGTAGTTGGGCTCAACAGTTTCTTTTCTGATGAAACAAAATCAACATTAATTAACATTAGACGTGTATGGAAAGAAAACAACGGAATGTAAAAATCATAAATATATCAGCGCGCGCAGTATAACTGGTGGCTAGGTGCACTTACAGATGTTCACAACTCATAAGCTGCTCGCTTAATCCACTGACAAATAATAATCAAGCAATTATCAGATGTCACAAACCAGGTGAGGCGTTTGACTGCTAAAAAGGGAAAAGTATATTATAATACTTGCCTCCAGATATATATCCGGGCATCCGAGAATGAGTATTTTGGGGAATGGCTGAGCTCTGTTCTAGCACAATAAAGATAAGTAAAAACGTTAACGGTAATATTAACCTGTCACCGAAATTTATAGCACAATATTGATTAGACTTCATGAGGCTGATGTTATTATGGTAAGATATTATCATTTATTCTTTACAAAAAGATTTGTTATAGAAATAAGTAGGCCGGCATTCTAAATATGTTACTTTGCAGTGAACAAGAGATGAGTTTCAAAATTGTGCTTTACTTGTATATTTCTTCATTTGCTATTTTGCTAAATAATTCTCGTAAACGTACTTGTTGTAACTTTATGTTTTTTTTTTATTTCTGTTTATTCTTAACATTAGGTTTTTCAAGGGAATTGAAATGGGGGTGAGCTAGACGTAGCAAGAGTATTCCACTTTAATGTCTGTTTTGTTAATCAATTTCTTATCATGATAATTACGTACACCGCGCAAAATTGTAAGAAACCATATTCGTCATGAATCCTCTCGATTGCGGTGCTGTGCATCATATCTTTTGTAATTTTGAATCATTGATAAAAGGCGATAACCGATTTTCTTGAATTATGACGCCGCAGCCTCCTTCTCTTATTTCCGTGAACTGCTTCATTAGCTAGCTGCTTGAAACGGGAGAGCGAAAAAAACAAGGAAGATTCTTCGTCATCTCTCAAACTTCTCTTTCTCGTCTTACTTGTAATATCGCAGGTGTGGGCCTACGCGCTGCTCAGTCTTGGAGGAGTTGACATTGAGAAACCATTCTGTCGAGCTTTCCGGTGCTGTTTTGATCGTCTCTGTCAAATAATATGGGACAAGGTTACTACTATTGTTTACTTCTCATTTTAATATTCCACTAAAGGAAAACAATGGAATTAAAGCAGCTGAATATTTTGTGATAAATGGGATGATTGTAAAAGATCTGACGAAAAATCCGTGGTAGGGAGAGGGATTGGGGGGCTTGAAATACATTTGCATACAACAGCGAATACCTAATGACTGAACTGAACATCTGCGCTACAGATTGAATACTACGCATGTGCACGTTTCAAACAGAGTCAAGCAAACTCCAAGCATTAATCGCATGCCACAAACTAAGTGAGGCGTTTGATTTTCCGCCACTCGTTACAATAATCACATTCACTGAAAAACGTACTTTACACATAGGAATTGAATTCGATTTGAAAATCACTTTTATCTACTGTCCTCAGTACTTGTACTATATGGTTGTCATAGCGATATGTAGTGTTAGTCATTCTACAATAGATGAAGATGAACACACACGTAGCAAGGCTCGCGTTGGCAGCTCACAAAACAAATTAAGACAAGATACTATAAGAAAATCGTTATGGATTTTTGTTTTATCCAAATAATGAATTTTGTATAACTTAAGTGATGGAGTAAATTTGAAGTGCATTGCAAGTAGGTTTTTTCCGAGCCTCTAATTCTTGGAGAAGTCTACGATGGCATTGTGAACATTAATTTTGGTATTATATTACTTAATGGGTAGAAAACTTAAATGCTATATTTTATTATGTGCCAGTGGCCGTTTTTAACTTATCGGTTTGAATATGGCCATCTCGGGGCTTCTTCTTTCGCATTATCGACTCCGAAGTATATCATATTATAGGAACGCCCACCTCCCCCCTCCAACCCCCCCCCCCCCCGAAACAAATATTTTAAAGAAATAGATATATAAAATAAAGAAAAAAAGAAAAGGGACGAACGAAATTCTTAAATTACAAAAAACAAGCCTTTCCTGGACCAAGTAACATAATGTCATTTTTTGTATGACAATGTATCATGTTGTTTTAATTTTTGTATTGTATTTTTGTTATGGTTGTTTAATCCACTATCTTAGTAGTATTTATTTCATTGGACATATCTAGCTATTAAAATATGATACCTAGAATATATTTTTTTGTTTGGAATTGCAGATTATGTGCAGATTATGTAGGGGATCTTTATCACTTATATTAATCAGTAGAAAACAAATGAGGAGCGTAATTAAAAAAGGTTAAGTACTGCATGGAATTTCGAAATAAAAATTGTCCAATGGCTGCATGCATTAGAACTTGGTTTTCACGTTTCTTATTATTAAGAATAAATTCCGTGCAACTTTGGTACCCACCAGTGATATACAGTGGGTGATAAGAAAAATCGCCCTGCTTTGGTAAAACTTCCGAATAAGCATAAACCCTTGGCACAGGAGGAAATTTACCAGACATGAGACATTCAAATATAAACATTTATAATGCGCGCTAATCCGAAACTTTGGGTCAAGGCGCGAAAGTATTGAATATGCAAGTTACTTTAAACAAAAAATAAAGCTCAACAGACAATATACAGGTATTCAAAGTTGCATTGCCCATTCGCGACCTGCTTATCAGACCTTTGAAGGAAAACTAATCTTACAATGTATTAATATCTACGTTTTTGACGTACGACCGAAATATATGAGTTGTGTAGAGCAGCGACTTTTCATAAAAATAATATTAGAAGAATGAATTTGAAAGATTTGAAAGTGCACAGGGAGATATTCATTGCTCACAATTGCAATAATTAGTTTAATTATTTTTGCAAGATTTTTACTGATGCACAACATTACGTTTTGGCAACGAGTGGTCCGCGTCAATTAAGTACGACAACCGTAACAAACACTCTACCTAACACTAGCATTAACGTCCATCTAAAAAGGTCTGGTATTAAACCTGATTGCAACCCTTACCGTAGACAAAACGATGTACCTAACCCTAACCCTAACGTTCATCCTAGACGTACTAACATCAAACATGATTGCAACCCTCACCCTAGACCAAACACTGTACCTAACCAGGGGCGGATCTAGCTTTTTGCTAAGGGGGGGGGGGTTGAACAATAATGACGATGCGGAGCATCGTCCACGAGCCGCGAAGCGGCGAGCCGATTTTTTTTGGGGTGTTTATTTGAACCCCGTAAGTGATGTTTTCCTGGCATCTATTAACACAATGGAGACCATAAAAAGCAGTGCATGAACACGTCCGTATTACACCCCCATGTATGGTAATTTACCCTGTATGCCAACTTTTTTGCATGATTCAAACTTACCTTCCAGTAAAAAAAGATGCGAGACTGGATTGCCGCAACTTCTTTGCCCTGTTTGCTTCCATATTGCTTGTCAACTACACTCAAACCAGACTGATAAAAAAGTGAGCAACTTGAACAAGTAATCCAGGAAATGAGCAGCCCAGCTCAGCGTGCGTTGCCAGGTTAAATCTTTACAAAATCCCCACCCAAACGACACTTAAAATATCCCCAAAGTTGCCAAATTTTGACAGAAAATCCCCAAAATTCGTTTTTCATAAAACTCAATATTATTTTCATTCCCAAATATTTATTTTTCATCCCCAAAGACTTCAACAATCCCCAATTTTTTTTTTGTTTAATGTGGGGATTTTGGGGATGAGAATCGGCAACGCTGGCCTAGCTTGTCACTTCGGCGGTGGCCCTTGTCCTCAAAAAAGCTGATGGGGGGGGGGGGCAAGGGACTCTGTGACATTTGTTCGCCCAACTCCCCCCCCCCCCCCCCCCCCCCTCCCCCAAAAAGAAATAATAATAATAATAATAATAATAATAATAATAATAATAATAATAATAATAATAATAATAATAATAATAATAAATGAAATAAATACATAGAAATAGAATAAAATTTAAAAAAAAAATTGGGGGGGGGGGTTGCAACCCCCCCCCCCCCAACCCTCCTCTAGATCCGCTTCTGCTAACCCTAACCCTAACCTCCATTTGAGACATCATGACATTACACCTGATTGCACTCCTTACCGTAGACCAAACACTGTACCTAACCTTTACTCCTAACCCTAAAATCCATCTGAGACGTCCTAACATCAAACCTGAAGTTGCAACCCTTACCCTAGACAAAACGTTGTACCTAACCCTAACCCTAACCCTAATCGCCATCTCAGACGTCCTAACATTAAACCGTATGCCTGATATTGCTCAGCTTCTTCTAGCTACTTGTGTAGTACTATTATATTACAATAACATTCAATAAAAATAAATAATTAAAATGTTTTAATTAAGCAATCAATGTTTATAAAATTCATTAGGATGCTTTTCCTTTTCATTTTATCTTTTTGACACATCTCTGTATATATATTCACACATTCAATATATTATATACATACTGATCAACATTTGTGTCAAATTAAGAATTACACTAAAGATTTGAAATGGTCCATTTTTCTATGTTTCCAACCATCTCTCTCTCTCTCTCTCTCTCTCTCTCTCTCTCTTTCTTCTTCTCTCTCTCTCTCTCTCTCTCTTTATATCTCTCTTCCTTTCTCTCTCTCACTCGCTAACTCTATCCCTCTCTGTCTCTTTCTCTATCGCTCTCTTATGGATCTATTTCCCTCACACACACGTCTTCTCTTATCTTTTCATTTTCCCATATGTTCTCTTTTCTTTCCCTTTCGTTTCTCCTTTCTCTCCCTCTCTCATTCTAACATCATTGTTGGATATGTTATCATCATATTTTATCTGATCTAATTCAACATGTCTCATTTATTTTAATGCGTATTTCTTGACCATTCGATTCTGTTGATGTTATTCTAAACATGATTCTATGATAATGGCTGTTTTATGTCGATGATTTTCATGTACATTTTGACATGACATAGCAATTGTAAACTTTCGCAATTTGGCATTGTGGCCGCGAGGAAAGTATTTTAATAAACCTTTCAATGCACCCTTACCCTACACCAAACACCATACCTCACCCCGACCCAATCCTCCATCCTCCAATCATTTTGTAACCCGTATATTACCCCGAGTCTAACACTATATCTTTCACGAAATAAAGCCCGCAACAATAGTCGGCGGAGCGTCATTATGTCGACGGATTAATGCCTTGTTTATTAATTATGACCGATTAGGTCCCTGTGTTAGAACAATAGAATCTTAACTTTACGAAAATCATTAATCGGGACAAAATACCCTGTATAAACCTTTTCATAAATCAATCAACCGTATACCTTGGAAATATACCTTGGAAGTAGGCATTTAAAGTTAAAAAGTTATTTGCCTCTCGTTGACATTCGGATGAAGAATTCATATTTTGGCACATGTTTAGTGGCGCTATACAGCAATTGACGAACATGGACAAGCGAAGGACTCCTCTGGGTCAAATTGATCTTTTCTTGACGACCAAAACTTCAACAAATTGGATTTAAAGCTGTTTAGTGACTTGCTCTCCACAACTACAGAGGAGAGGTTGTTCCATTCATTGATACTTCTCTGTGAAAATGACCCATGTCTAAGCTTCGAGTAGACTTTCTTCTTAACGATCTTGTATCGATGGCCACGGGTTCTATTATCAGTTGGATGGTCAAAGAAGTGTGCTAGATCCAGTTCATCTAGGCCATGCATTATTTTGTATATCTGTGTCATGTCTGCTCTATGGCGTCTGTAGGCAAGAGATGGTAAGTTGAGATGTTTTAGTCTCTTCTCGTAGCTCAAGTGTCGTAGCATGTGTATTTGGCGAGTTGCTCTACGCTGTACCTTTTCTATTTTCGTGCTGTCTTTTTTCAATACAGGATGCTACACCGTTGAGCAGTACTCGAGTCTTGGTCTTATAATTGATTTGTATAGATGTATAAACCGTATATCCTTCTTTGAGTGATCTTTTTTTTAAATCCATTTATTACCCAATTATCGTGCTTCTCTTATGCAAGATTTAAAATCCCTTCAGCCTCTTGGGTTATTTTGGCACCTGTTTAGAACCCAGGGGGGAGGGCGTTTCACAAGGCCTTTTTTTAATGACAAATGACAAAATCAGTGACAAATCTGCTGATAACCAATCAGAAGCAAGGATTTAAGTAGTTTATGACAAAACCTGCCATTTGTCACTAATAACAAGTTTTGTGAAACGCCTACCAGTTCTACCGTAATAACGGCAGCCCACCCCCACCCCACACACACACACACGTCTACCCCTTAGTCGAAATGTTTCCTAACGAAGATAACAATGGAAAGATCTTGCTATTCACTAAATATCACATCTCGTCTTGTTTCTCTTTGACTACTTCAAGGTTCCATACCTTGTAGTGCTCCGTACGTTCCTCCCCATTCCACGGTGGAAACTCTCCGGCTGAATTACAACTTCGCAGACAAAGTGAATGTGACGTGTGATGCCAGCGATTCTACCTTCACCCTTCAGTGTCACAACAAAGGATTATGGAGCGGACCCGTTGTATCCTGTCCACCGCCCGCTCTGCTCGAACCCCCCGCTGCAGGTATTTGATTGTGGTTGTTTAGTATTAATCATCATTGGAGTTGGTGGAGTATCGTAATCGGATCGTTGTCTGACTTGCACAAGTGGCAATCGACAACAGATCTTTGTCACAGGCTGAATATAGCCCTTTTACGATTAACAATAAGATTTTTAAAAAGATAATCTACTGATGCAAAGCAATTGTTACATTGCTTTAAAAGTGAAAGAAAATGTCGCAGTTTTATTTAATATAATGATACAATGATAATGATCATTATTATGATCACTTTTTACCTTTTCAAATATTTTCACATTCCACAGTTTAATTAGAATTATATACATTTTTTTTTTACTTCAAAAATTCATATTAACCCTCGTTGCAATTGTCTTCATGCAATTTTGTGTATGTTCCTCCTACATCCGATTTGAACTGTGTTACAAATCTTACAATCAGTATTAACATTGTATTTTACTTGCAAGTTGTAAAAGATGCCAAGTTTAGTCTTTGACTGAATTTGATTGGATTTAAATTAATTGAGTTGAATTGACATGTTTCCAAAATACAAACATAGTTTGAATACCAAAACAAAATAATAAGAACCATGGTAATTTCTGTTTTCTTCTGGAATATTGTATCTCACATTTTGCATAACGCAAACAGTCGGTAGTAATGATTCACTTTTCAAGCACATTTGAATTTCTACCCAGTATGATTCAAGTGGAAGACAAGTGTACTGTTGATGATAACCTATGGTCATATATTTATATCGTACATGCAGTTGCTGCTGGCAAAGCCCAATGCAGTGCCCCGGCGGTGCCTCGTGACTCAACCATTCAGAATCTTCGTCTCTCCTACAAAGACCGTGACATGATAAATGTGACATGTAACGAAGTAACTAACGGAGTTCCTGAATGGTTCGAATTGACATGTGCCAATGGAATTTGGAACGGACAAAACATAGTTTGCCCTGACCCCGTGATAGGTAATAATGGGCCGCGGTGTGATTTTACACACATACGCATACACGCATGCACGCACACGCACACGCGTACACGCACACACACAAGCACGCACACATATTTTTTAATGCATATCGGAGAGATCATTGCACTGTTCGTATAAAACCAGATAAGAACTGTCATTTTACTGGTTGGCTATTAAAGAACATACAATTTAGTTTTTTAAACCGATATTCCATTATTTGAATTGTGGAAACAAACATAGAACTCCCAGGACAGAGATAATACATTGGGCTTGTTGCCCTTTAGTTATAAGACTCATTTCAATGATAACAATTTAAAGTTACAATTCTTGAGAACAGTCTGCCAAAAATGATTTCTTAATTATTTTAAAAGAACGTCCCATTTGCTCAACGAGTAATCCTCGTCCGAATTATCATAGCAAAATATTTTATAGGGCATTATGGTCGTTTTCGAAACTTTTGGCTAATTAAATTACAAAAGTGATGTCATCCGACACATCAATAGAAACAAGAGTGAATAGAAGAACATAAAATAGGTAAAATAGAAGGTTGAGTTCTAGGGAGAGATGAAAAAGAAGTTATGAGCATTTTCATTGTTATTATGCAAGTGTGGAAGAACATCGGAGCAAAATGTATCCTGAAAAGCATGGCTCTTCAAATGCGTTCATATCCTTAATGAAATGTTACAACTTTTAAAAATAAAAACCATACATTTGTTATGCCAAACGTTTGTGTATTCCCATATAAATCTTTCTGTCTTTAGCGCTTGTTGCATATACCAGGACTGGGCCAATATTCCTATAATTTTGATCATTCCAGAACCAGTACTTATATAATAAATGATCAAACTTTCTGATCGATTCCACAACATTTCTTTTGCAATGCAATCGCATGACCAGTACTAAACTTTATCTTTAACTCTTAAATTCGAAGCTGAACATTTGACACACATTAAATGTATACAACTTTCAGGAAGCTATCACATGAGTAATTCTAACTTTAAAATAGTTTGTTCATGTGTTTCTTCTTCGGTTTAGATTTCCCCATATTCCATTTTTTCATGATTCTGTTATGATCCACATTACTTATTCATTTATTCATTCTTTCATATATTTATTTATTCACGTATTCATATATTTATTTATTCATTTATTTATTGTTTCGTAGAATGCAGCCAACCAATCCTACCAGCTGATTCATCGGTTAAAACGATAAGGGCTCGATACAAGATTGGTGACAATATCAACATCACATGTAACAGTGCGTTGGGTTCGTTCGTTTGGATATGCAACAAGGATGGTCTGTGGCGCGGAGCGGTCGCTTCGTGCCGAGTTTCACAACCACATAATGGTGGAGCTGCTTCAGGTTTGTACTCACCGCTACTTAACAAAATTACCTTTTTGTTTGGAGACAGCCTTTATTTAGTTTTTTTTTTTTTTTTTTTTTTTTGGGGGGGGGGGGGGGGGGGGGTTCATTTCTGGGAAATGCTCCTATCGCCTTTTGTTTTCCTTATGATAGCAATATCAATCCTTTTTTTTTCAGTGTAATGCAAACACGTGTAGAGTATTGTTTACAAGTAATTTGCCTTCGTTTTACTTTGTTTGAATAGTTATGGTTGTTAACAACGGATGACATTCGTAAACGTAATGTGCAACTGGTCCTTCCTTTTCATTGTGCCTCCTTGTCATTTTCCCTTCCTGTCTTAAGAGCAACATGTTTAAATCTCCTTTATTTCCCCCAACTATAATCATTCATTAGTCTAAGCATAACAATTTAGAAATTTGAAAACATTGGACGAAGAAAAATATTTCTCAACGGTAATTGAGTAGCCGCAGTTAAAGGCGATGAAAATGGGCAATACCAAATAAAAACCCTTGGCCATTTCCGTTAAAAGTTTGTTTTCTTAAAGAGAGTTTGTCCTCAAGTTTACTCGGACTTATATGATATTGTGATGGGATACAACACTATTTTTGGTTTAGTGTAATCCAGGTTTTACAACATTGTGGATCTGTTTTACTTAGACAACAATTCACTTCATTTGATTTATTTGATATGTGTTCCAACATCAAAAGACGTGTTAAAATCACCCTTTTATTTTCAACAAAATAGTGTGATCGGATTATTGTTTTAACTCAAATTTTGTAATCAAAGATTACCGTAGAAAATAAGATTATTTATAATTATGTAAAATTATTTTCAGCTTTATACGAGGAAGAGCGTTTTAGCAATAGTTTATTTTTTCCCATACTGACTAAAATAATTTTTTTCTGAACATTTCTAATGGAAACTTCTTCATAATCTCTTTACAGGGAGAATTGGAAATAAAGAGCCCCAGGAGAAGCAAGATGGACGAAATGTCTTTATCACAGGCCTTCTAGTAGCAGCAGTGATAATGTTCATTCTAGTCCTGATGTCCATGGTAGCCTTCTCGATCTCCGTTAAAGGGTAATAAGGACCTTAGTTCACTGGACATTTTTTTCTTCCTTTTTTTTACATAATTTGTTTTTATAAAGAAATTATTTGTACCGCTTATTTATATATATTTTTGTTTTGCTTTTAAGCCATTGAACATGTTGATTAATTATAATGAATTAGACAATACCGCCTGTGCGCTTATAAACGCCCGTATTAAGCGCCCTAAAAATGTAACTATTATTATTATTATTTCTGCAAAATCGAAAATAGCAACGGAAACATACATAATTAAGATTTTCGTCTTCCCTCAGTCGGAGTAAATTGCAAGGATGAACAAAGTTCGGAAGGACTATTGCATTATTGTAGCTTGCGCATTGATACAGCCCGCGGACATTAAACAGCCAATCACAACCCGTCAATTATCCGCGCATTTGTTTTTATAGTTTGTCAGTTTACGTTGCTATCATTTTTGTTGTTGCTTTTTTTAAAGGGGGGGCGGGGGCGTTAAAATGTTGAACAAGAAAAGGGTAAGAATAGGCCAGATTACTTTTGGGTATAATTTGTATTAAGAGGAGATGACAACAATTAATTAAATTATGGGCGTAGTGGGTGGCTGTATGCAAGGGAATGCCAATATTCGTAACTTTATATTATGTTGAAACACATAAACAAAAAATTGGAAGCTTCACTTCATCAGAAGATTTGCCATTTGCTACGATTATTCTCATGTTTGAATTTTAATTTCAGCCAATTGACTGTTTTAGCACCCCTAACCCCAAACAAAATGTTACTTATTCTTTGAGAAAAAACGAGTTACAAATATATTGATGAATTTTATATTTGTTTCATTGTTATGATGTTCCTTTGTGGTGCATTATATATGTAAACAGGTCCTACTTTGTGTTACTTTCAGTTTGTTGTTACTGACATTACTTTCATAAATCTGCTATTTAATGACAGACGGAGCTTTGGACCTTCGAAACATTCCTTACAAGATGAGAAAACTGACCGAGGACCACTCCCCGAGGTTCCCGCAGGGTACGCAGATTACCTTGTAGGTGATAAGTCACTCTACACTGCACCATACTTGAAACCAGACGAGATTCACCATAGCTATGAGACCTACGAGAAACCAATCTAAGTCACCTGACTCTTCTTGTTATACTAAATTAACCAACAAGGAACCGAAATTTTAAGTGCAAATTTGTTTTATTTACCAATTATTAAAATTTTAGTTTTATCGCATGCTCTTGTTTGAAACAAATACTCAGTTACCATTTGGTCTCTATTGCGTAAGGGGTGTTATTCACAAAGTAAGGGTCATGAATGTGACAAGTAATATACAAATATATTCGCGATTTACAGTGCAAAATGAAGTTTCTTACTCTTTATTTCATGCTACTGACACTAACTAAACTGAACCGTACTGAACTATGGAACAGATCTATTCCTTTAATTTGCCTTGCAATAACGTGAGGTCATGTTTTCCCCATGGTTCTGTTATTACGTCCAATGTCCCTTGGCCTACTTGTCAAGCTTGTGTAATGATAATATACAAACCCCTCTACCCCCCCCCCCTCCCCACCCCCCCCCAAAAAAAAAAAAATAATAATAAAATAATAAAATTAAAACAATTGGAAACTCAAGTATGATTGTCTCCTTTTCTTTGCATAATCACGGTTATTTTTATTACAAAAGTGCATTCAAATTGCCCTATTGCCCGGGCCTTTCCAACAGTTGTTAACCTAGGTGTGATGCTTCAGAGAGTTGACATGTCACCATAGTGCATGAATTTCAGTTTAAGTTTCTTTACAATTTGGCGTTAATCATATTTATGGATGACCAGTTCGGAACAGTAGCCCCATTGTCATTTTATAAAAATCGCATACTATGCTAAAGAAAGAGCAATAACAATACCAGTAATTACCAGTTCATTTTTGAACTTTTCATTTTTATAATTAGATTGTAACAGGAAAAGCTTCCGATAATCTATATTCATTAGTTTTATTTGAATATTTTTAAAAGAGTATGAAAGCGGTACACATTTACACAGATATGATATTGAATGTATTTCCCCATGTTGCCTTTATGTAAGGATGAAACGGTTACACATCTAATCAGAAAGCAGTGAACGATTCTTAAAAAGTATAACTTCTCAGGTTGCACTGAGATGACCTATTATTTCTTAGGACGTATAATTTTCTTTTGGGTGTTAATTTAGCACTTTGCAGCATCCTTACAACATTTGGCCATTTGTATAATTTATTTCAACTGTAATGAGATATAACTGCACACGTTATATAGACATATATTTCGTTTATAATTCAGTTATTTCGATTCAAATACAAAAGAATATATTAGGTGGATAATAGCAAATACAGTTATGGGCAATATTGAAATTTAAATATGTTTATTCGAGATATTAGACAATGCATTATCGACTTGTATCACAGGTCTGGACAAAACTTAATATGCCATTCTATTTTGGGGTTATTCAATCCTTCGCTACTGGCCTTTCATTATATAATCCTACTGTACATGGTTTGAAAGGCAAAAAGTGTTTCCCATTAAGAATAGACTTCAATGTAAGTGGTGTTTTGTTATCATTGTTTTGTCAAAAAGGATGGTAGGTTTCTTTTCTATGAAGTACAGTGCAAACAAATCTTAACCTTTTCAACCTTCTTCTCCTCCAGTAGTTGATGATGATCATTGCATGGTGACATTTTTTTAATAAGTTTTTAACCCAAAGATTAATGAGGATATTAAATACAGTATAACTTGTTGATGTAGGGAAGGCATTTAGATGGAATATTATATTGGTATCCAGATATACAATTTATTAAATGATGTTAGATTGAGTTAACATACGGAAATGTTCATGCTATAGGTTTTTTTTTCGCCCCGACGTTTATGAATGTATAAATGGTTGCATTCCATTCTTGATTGTTTAATTTTTTTCTACTTTTGGAGTCAAAACGAGGTTTTAGTAAAAATCCATAAGGATTATTGAATAAAGAGTTTGGTAATATAACAAAATACATGTTCACCTATTAATCTACATTGGGATACTAACAATTAATTGTCATGGTTTTCCTAACCCTATTTTTATTTCGATTTGGTACCTTTTTTTTACAAACCAGTTTGGAAATACAAATTCTTTTTCTTTCTTTTTAATTCTTTTCTCTTTCTTTTAATATTATTTTATTTGATTTTGTTTTCTTCTTTCATTTAAATATTTGTATTTATTTCATTTCATTTTACTTTTGAACAATCTCGTGTTTTGTTTTATTGATTTGTTAAATCTTCCTACTCGATTTATTTCTTTTAGAAACATGTTGAATTAGCATCCATCAAACATAATTATGTCGGTGTTTCACAACACAAAGATTGCGTACAGGGTGTTCATAATGAAGGTTAATTCGAGAGAATATATAAGCATGTTATATACTCACACGTGATTGTTCAAAAGGATGTCCAGTGTCACGTTTATATGCCCTCCTTTGGAGCCAAACTTGTTCAGTTAAAAACAAAGAAGATAATAACCTGTTGACTATGTATGTACTGATTATTTTACTAAAAACCAATTACGCGGAAGTATAGTAGATACTTTATTTTCCATTTAATTGCATTGGTAAATACCAGAATATAAGTACAATTAACTCTAAAACAATGCTATTCTTTTATAATATAATTTACATCTTGTGCAGCGCTCATTAACGTATTGTTATTAATGTAATTGATGTATTACGAAATAAATTAAGAAACAAGTCAATTTTCGCTTACCTTGTTTTAAATCTAGAATGATCTCCTTCGCCTCATCATGTATGTTCTTTCGTAAGTCTACATAATAATTCCATCATACAGAACTGAATAACGAATAATCATCTGGAAATTGGTAAAGACCATTATAAAAAAAGCCTAACAAGTGATGAAAGCCCTTGAAAATATAGTCATAATAATGAGAGCTAAATTGCGACAGGATTATCTTTCGCATTGTTTCCTAAGCAACATTAGATATTTTTTCTTTAAAATAACAATACTTGTTAGAATATTTGTTCTCTTAAAAAAAAAGGAAACTCATATTATTATTAGGAATAAAAGTATACAATAGCATAGTAATTTATAGATCAAAAGTAAAGTGGGTATTGAACTCTGGCAAGGACCTGATCAGTATGCAGGTTGGATATAGATCAAGCCGGCAAACGGCAGTTGTAATAATATTTGGTTATCTTCATCGCATTGTCATTGTATGTATGATTTCTTCACATTTCAGGAACCCCCTCCCCCCCCCCAAAAAAAAAGGGTGTGATTGTGTGTGTGTGGGAGGGGGCAAACGAGCAGTGAGGTAAAACATGATAGCTTCAGTAAATCCTAATCTAAATCTTTGTTTTTGGCCTACATAATTTTGTTTTCCCACAAACTTCGATACTTTTAGATAATAATGATCATCCGCAAGTCAAAAGTTTTATCCTTCTTTGCCTTCCTTGAGGTTCAAAGTTTAAGATTTGGCAGTGCGAGATATATTTGATTAATAGAAAGTAAATTGTCCATTGCGACATTGGCATTTACTTATAAGTAAACGATGATGAATATGCTGTCAAAGACGACTGAGCACCAATGTTTTCAAAAATCCGACGTCGAATAACCTTGTACCATGTTTAAGCTAACGCAACGAATTTACACTTTGGCTACTTAAATGCACCTATTTTGCATGCAATCCTAGTACTTATTCTCAGCCTAAACGTGGTAGAAGAGGATTCTCACACTACTTTTCTAATACCTTGGTGCTCAGTCTTTCGTTGCTGCAGCAGGCGTGTTATGAATAAGGTAGCATTTAACGGGAAATAGGCAGTTACAAAAAATGCAAGATCACACATAATATTTTGTATTCTTAAACTATTATTATGAAACTTTGAATTGCTTGTTTACCTGTGGCTACGCAGAGAGACAGTTTTTTTTTTTTTTTTTTTTTTTTGGGGGGGGGGGGGGGGGGATGGGGGTGGGCAGTGATGCATGATGGTTTATTGCCGTGTTGCAATCTGTGAGAGTAGAGTACTTTGATTTGTCCAGCATTGACTTAATGCTATTCCACAAGATTGCAATCCCTCCACATTGATCCCAGCAGCATATGAACACAATTATGATTTTCTTTCATTATCATTATTACTTATCTATTTGGGAGAATAATAACCAACTTACAAATAATGGACTTCAGTGAGGTTGTTAGTCAGACTTATCCACTTAGGCTGTACTTTTGGGACAGCTTGGCCTGTTTTCGAGGTACCCAGAGTGGATAATTATACTGATGCAAGAACATGTGATTACTATTGCTGGTTTTACAAAATGGTGGAGAGAAATTGAAATAATGTTAAACAACTAACATCGCTCTAAACTAGGCAACATACCTCACATTACGCACACCCACACATAATACACACGCACACACATATACAAACACATTGCCGCTCATCGAAAGTGATAACAACCGCTTCCACGCCAGGAAAAAAATGCCTGTCCGTTATGAACCAAACATTCCATTACAAACTACCTCATCATTTTATAACATAAAGTAATCGTCTTTTTATATCAGTGGCTATTTCGCGCTGTCAAAAATAATCATAGAACATTTATTGAAATCAAATACCAAGTGAAGCGGGCATTAAACTCAACTACGGACCTGATCAGTATTCAGGTTTGGTCCATATGAAGCTTACAAAAGGCAGTTGGAATAAAATAACTTCACACTTAATAATTAATATGTCGCCAAATTTAAATGTGAAATGGTTATCCATGGTAACACACAAACAATATGAAAACAGTGCAGAGATGTCCTTGGTAATATCACCTGATTTGTTCAGATGCTATAAACCAGGTAAGGTGTTTTACTATATGAATTAAAAATACTGAGTTGTATTGATGTGGGTATGATGGGAGAGGAGCCACATTCCCATTTTTAGGCACTTAAAATATCCGAACAAAAATTGAAAAGAAATATAGTTAGATTTGAGCATGACTATGAATAGGATAAATCAATTGACTCCAATAATATAAACAATTAAGATATTAACATGAACATTGAAATCTGGCGTGAAAACATGAGGTTTGTTTCCAGCTCGTCCACGGACCTGATCAGTACGCAGGCTAGGTACAGATAAAAATGTCAAATAGCACTTCTGAAAACTTGGACAACGCCAATATAAGACCAGCATTAACTATGGCTTTGTTCTATTGAGTGTTGCTGTCTCTTCTCTCTCTCTCTCTCTCTTTATTTGACGAAACCCCGTATAACATGAAGGCATTTAAAGGTAATGCAATTTTTTTTAGAAATTTTGAAAATTGGATTGATAGTAATTCTTTAAAATGTTGATACATTTGGATGCCCCTGTGGATGTATTATAAGCACTAGAAAATATAGCCCAAACACTTCTGCTTTCGAGTAATTTTTTTTTTTAATTATCAAAATTTACCGGTGCTCTAGGTAAATGTAAAATATTTCAAAAAGCGCCTCAGGCCATTCCATGGTAGCTGCGACCATGAAAACCTCAGAATATGCAGTTCTGATAAATAATTT